CAAACAGCAAATTTTTAAATTAATTTTATTTATTATTATTTTATATGTATACATGTATTGCATGTAGGTAAGTTCACCTGTGTTATACAATGCCTGTGGAGGTCAGAAGAAGCTGTTGGATCCTCTGGGACTGGAGTTACAGACAGTTGTTAGCTGCCATTTCGATGCTGGGATTTGAACCTAGGTCTTCTGCACAAACAACCAGTGTTCTTAACCACTGAACCAGTGTTCTTAACCATCTCTCCAGCCCCTCAAACAGCAAATTTTAAAATCAAACATTCAAACACAATACAGGGGCTGGAGAGATGACTCTGCAGTTAAGAGCACTGAGTGCTCTTGTGAAGGACCGGGCTTGATTCCCAGCACCCACATGGCAGCTAACAATCATCTCTTAACTCTAATTCCAGGGGATCTGAGGCCATCTTCTGGCCTCCATGGGCATTAATTACATGGGTGCACTTACATACATACAGGCAATACACTCAAATACATAAAATAAAAATAATAAATGAGCCAGGCCTGGTGGTGCACGCCTTTAGTCCCAACACTTGGGAGGCAGAGGCAGGTGGATCGCTGTGAGTTCAAGGCCAGCCTGGTCTACATAGTGAGTTCCAGGACAGCTGGGGCTATAGGGAGATAGTGAGTTCCAGGACAGCTAGGGCTACAGGAAGACCCTGTCTCAAAAAGACCAAAATAATTAATAATAATAATAATAATAAATGAAAATTTAAAAACACAATAAAATCTAAGAAATGCTAATTGATACATGCTGAAGAGTGATAGTAAGAATAGTAAGTTGTTTTTTTCCATAATGAAAACATTACATTTTATAAGAGCAGATATCTGGTAGTAGTCTGAAATCTGAGCTGAGGCTGTTCAGGCCTCTTTCTTAAGTGTTGTGTGACATGCCGGCATGCACAATTGCAAAGTGCAGGTGTTGTCTGTTCAGAACCAAGGCTGCAGTGAAGCTTGCAGCATAGGTGAGTACTGCCAAAACCATGTTGGTCTCATGACTTCATTTGGAATTAATATTTGGTCACTACTGTTGCCAAATTTTTTGTAACCCCCCACATTCAGTTATATGATCTTCCCCATATGGAATTGCACCAAAGTTTAAGAAGTTGTGGGTGGGGCTGGAGAAATGGTTATGAGCACTTGCTGCTCTTTCAGAGGCCCTGGGTTCGGTTCTTGGCACCCACGTGAAGCCGTTGTGAGCCTATAACTCTAGCTCCAGGGTATCAGATGCCCTCTTCTGGCCTCTAAAAGCACCCAAGCACACATCACATACATACACACATACATACATGCACACACACACATACACACACACACAATAAATTAGTAGACTAATTAATTAAACTAAGAGGCTGGGGGTTAGAGCATCCTAGTTGGTGAGGGAGGGAGTGGCAGGTTCAGCCCTTGATCCTGGGGACTGGAGAAGCAAGCCCCAGCCTAGGCATGACTCCTGTCGGTGCCCGCTTGAAGGATCCTCCACAATCATAGTTCTGGTTCCTTGGGATAAATTCATGACTCTCAGTTATCAAGTACCAACTAGATAAACTAAGCTCTGACAAACAGGCCAGGTGTGGTGGCACAAACCTTTAATCCCAGCACTCGGGAGGCAGAGGCAGGCAGATCGCTGTGAGTTCAAGGCCAGCCTGGTCTACATAGTGAGTTCCAGGACAGCTGGAGCTACAGGGAGACCCTGTCTCAAAAAGACAAAAAAAAAAAAAAAAAAAAAAAAAAAGCTCTGTCAAACTATTGGTCATGATAGTCTTGAAAACAAGTGCAACTCATGCAGCTGTTTGGTTAAGAGAAGGAAGCTCAGTGAGATCTGCATGTTCAAGGTCCAGACCTGAATGTTAAGAGTTAGAATTTGAACCCTTGGCTGCCTGAGACAGAGCTTTGTGATGCCTTTGACTCCTTAGAACAGCACACAGGTGAGGTTGTAAGTTGTGTGTGAATTGTATGAATTTTGTCTGTGTGGGTGTGTGACAGGTGAAGTTGGTGGTTAGAGACCAGCTCTGAGTTCCAGCTCTGAGCTATTGTATACACACATTCACACACACACACACACACACACACACACACACACACACACAGATAATCATAGTTCCTCACTCTGTACCTTCCTTCTGGAGACAGGTATCAGCATTCCCTGGGGATGTGGAGATTCGTGCGCTGATCGAAGGACAATTCATGGCCAAGAGGATTCATGCCGAAGGCCTGGGCTATCGAGTCAGTAAGTGAGCTGCTGGCACAATGCATTCTGGGGTGGGTGCCCTGAGCCAGGGAGACAGTCTGTTAAGACTCCATTACAGGATTCCTTCTTATCCTGTATTAGGATTTCTACAGAAGAAGGAGGCAGGTAGAGCTGGTCCTGGTGGAGTAAGAAAGTGAGTTGTCAGGCAACTTCTTAGAGTTGCAAAAGCAGAGGCAGGCGGGCCTGCTTCTCAGTGCCACCTCTAGTTACCTGGTCTTTTGATCATGAACTTAGGCTTTTGGAGAAGTCTTCCTGTGTCCCTCAGGTCCTAGCTGTAGATAAACCTGAGCTCTGGACCCCAAGGACATGGACAGTGCAGGTGGGAAGGCTCTGTTCTGGGGCCATGACTGGGCTTTTCAGTTTGGGCCAAGCCAAGTGGCGATGTAATACCACTGTCAAAACAGAACTGTTGTGGTGGCACATGCCTTTAATCCCAGCACTCAAGAGGCAGAGGCAGGTGGATCTCTGTGAGATGGAGGCCAGCCTGGTCTGCATAGTGAGTTCCAGGCTAGCCAGAGCTACATAGTGAGACCCTGTTTCAAAAATCAAGCAAGCAACAACAAAAGCCTTTAGCAGGGCATAGTGGTGCACACTTTTAATTCCAGCACTCTGGAGACAGAGGCAGGCAGATCTCTGTAAGACTGAGGCCAGCCTTGTCAAGTTCCAGGCCAGCTAGGTCTTCAGGGAGACCCTGTCTCAAAATACGAACAACAATAAAACCCCCCAAAACCTTTGAAGCCTCTTTGCTCGGTGGGTCCCCCATAGGAGTCTTTCATGAACAGTTTAAGTTCTGCGTAGGATGTTTTATTGTCTTTGAACCAACCGAGTAAAAGGATACTATAAAGACAAGCATTGGGCCAATTTCTTGGAAAACCAGTTAGACAGCATCCACTGAAGTGGAGTGTATACTTCCCAGCAATCTTACTCCTGTATAAATGCACAACAAAAATGTATACATGTGGTATCCATGAAAGCCTTGCCTTCTGTATGGGCCTTGCTTAACAGCCCTGAGATGGAAGCAATCTACCATCTATTAATAATAGACAGGATGGAGGCTGGAAAGATGGCTCAGCAATTAAGAGCACTGGCTACTCTTGCAGAGGACCTGGGTTCAGTTCCCACCACCTACATGACTTGCTAGCAACTGTTCATAACTCCAGTTTCTGGGGATCAAACGCCCTCTTCTGGCCTCTACCCACATTATATATGAATGTAGTGTGCTTACATACATGCAGGCAAAACACTCACACATAAAATAAAAAATAAAATTTAAAAAAGTCTTTAAAAAAGCACACAGGATAGGGCTAGAGAGATGGCTTGGCAATTAAGAGTACTGGCTGCTCTTGCAAGAGGACCCAGGTTCGGTTCCTATCACCCACATGGTGGCTAACAGTTCCAGGGGATCTGACACCCTCTTCTGACCTTCATGGGCATTGTATGACACAGGTGCACATACATATATGCAGGCAATACACTCATACACATAAAATAAAATAAAAATAAATTTTAAAAAAGAGTAGCCAGGATAGGGCTGAAGGTGATGACTCAGTGGTTAAGTGCTGCTCTTGCAGGACACCTGAGTTCAATACCCAGCACTCACAGAGTAGCTAGGATAGGGCTGAAGGTGATGACTCAGTGGTTAAGTGCTGCTCTTGAAGGACACCTGAGTTCAATACCCAGCACTCACAGAGTAGCTAGGATAGGGCTGAAGGTGATGACTCAGTGGTTAAGTGCTGCTCTTGAAGGACACCTGAGTTCAATACCCAGCACTCACAGAGTAGCTAGGATAGGGCTGAAGGTGATGACTCAGTGGTTAAGTGCTGCTCTTGAAGGACACCTGAGTTCAATACCCAGCACTCACAGAGTAGCTAGGATAGGGCTGAATGTGATGACTCAGTGGTTAAGTGCTGCCCTTGCAGGACACCTGAGTTCAATACCCAGCGCTCACAGAAGGCGGTTCACAACTGCCTGTAACTCTCCAGGAGGGAGATCCAATGCCCTCTTTTGGCCTCTGAGACCATTCATGTGTACAAACCCATACTCAGACGCACATATACACATAATTTTAAAAAGAATTAAGAGTAGACAGGTTAGGGGCTAGAGAGATAGCTCAGCGGAACACTGTTTTTGCAGAAGACCCGGGTTCAAATCCTAGCACCCACATGGCAGCTAACAACTGTCCGTAACTCCAGTTCCAGGGGATCCGAGGACAGTCTCTTCTGTCCTCGGCAGGCATTGCATGACATGGGTGCACTTACCTACATGCAGGCAATACACACGTATACATAAAATAAAAATAATAAATATTTAAAAAAAGAGTAGACAGGTTAATGTATTGTGTGTCATTGGATGGGCTACATCACAGAAATGGATTGAACCTCTCCTAATTACCATGCAACAGGATGTGTGGATGTCACAAATCAACACTGAGCAAAGGAAGCAATGTAATAGTCCATTTGGCAGGGTTTTGAGTATATCAAACTCAAATCAGATGCTACTTGCTGTTATAAGTCAGGATAATTGGGGCTGAGAATGTAGCTCAGCTGATAGAGTGCTTGTCTAGCATGCCTTGGGTTCCAACCCTATCATATAAAGTTAGCATGGTGGCTCATACCTGTAATACCACTCAGGAACAGAGGCAGGAGGAATCAAGAGTTCAAGAGGCCAACCTGGGCTACGTGGAAACCTATCTTTAAAAAAGTCAGAATAATTGGCAGTTTCCTTTCAGAAGGCTGTGAGAGGGCTTCTGGGGTGCGGGTGATAGTCTGTTTCATGTTACACAAGTGTGTTTCATTTGTAAAAATTTATAAGCTACAGGTTTGAGATATATATGTTTTAGGTCAATACTTTTTTTTTTTTTTTTTTTTTTTTTGATAAAATCTTTCTGTGTACCTCTGGCTAGCCAGGAACTTGTTATAGAGACCTGTCTGGCCTTGAACTCAGAGATCTGCCTGCCTCTGCCTCCTGAGTGTGGGGATTGAAGATGTGTACAACCATATTGTGCACACCTTAAATTTTTGTTTTTGCCTTTTGAGACAGGGCTTCCCTGTTGCCCCAGCTGAACTAGAACTCAATATGTAGATCAAGTTGGCCTCAGTCTCACAGAGATCTGCCTGCCTCAGCCTCTGCCTTCTGAGTGCTGGGATTAAGGGCATGAACCACCACTCCCAGCCACAGTTTTGTTTTTTGAGATAGGGTTTCATGTAGCCCAGGCTGGCCTGGAATTCGAAATGTAGGTGAGGATGACCCCGAAATCCTGATCCTTCTGACTCTACTTCCCAAGTGCTGGGATTACAAGTGTGTGTCACCAATGCCTGTATTTTAATATAAAGTTTAGCATAAAATGATTTATTATTTTTTATTTTATGTGTATGAGTGTAGTGCCTGGATGTATGTGAGTGTACCCATGTTGTGCAATGCCGCAAAGGTCAGAAGAGGGCTTCGGATTCCCCTGGAACTGGAGTTAAGGGTGGTTCATAGCCGACATGTGGATGCTGGGAATCAAACCTCAGTCTTCTGCAAGAGCAGTCAGTGCTCTTAACTGCTGAGCCATCTCTCCAGCCTCATAAAATGATTCTTATACACATTCTTTTTCCCCTCATCTCACTATCGTAGAAGTACATATTTTCAAATATACTTCCAAAGTCCTTAGAATTCTCTGAGAAATAGGGTGTGTGAGCAGAACAGAGAGGCTGGTTCTGAGTACCTGGCAGGAATCTTTGGACTGCCAGTAGGGCACATCTGGGAGGGAGGGCCATCTTCAGCAGCTCAGGGTACAGAAGGAGGCAGGGCAGTGAGGCCAGGATGGACTTAGGTGATTATTTAAAAAGGCATTTCTCGTAAGGCATAAATAAGTTTATCCTCTTAACAAGCTTAAAAGCAGAATTAAACTTGTCTTGCAAATTCTACTGGGTTTCTTTCAAACAAGATATTTTATTATATTTACTTATTTATTTGTGTGTGTGTGTGACAGAGTGTGCTTGTTACAGTGTATGTGTGGAGGTCAGAGGACAACTTCTGTGAGTCAGTTCTCTCTTTCCACCCTGTGAGTTCTGGGATTGCATTCAGATCATCGGGCTTGGCAACAAGTACCTTTTATCTGCTGAGCGATCTCCAGTTCAATTCTTTGGGTTTGTTTGTTTGTTTGTTTGTTTTCCACAATATTGGGACTAGAACCCAGAGCCTCATTCATGCTAGGCAAAAACTCTACCACCGAGCTATGACTTCATTCCTCAAACAAGGTCTCTTAAATAAATGTGCTTGGAAACAGAAAGGGTTGCATATACGTGTATACTTCTCCAGGCTGCTGCGTGGACTGGCCAGCTTAAGTTTTGTTCTTAGTCAGTCTTCATCACATTTAGTATTAATAGTGTCTAAGAAGAATAAAATGGCACTTCCAGAATGAGCCAGTAAAATAGCTCATCAGGTAAAGGCACTTGCCACCAAGTCTGATGACCTGGGTTTGATCCCCAGAGCACACATGGTAGAAGGAGAGAAATAACTCCCTCAAGTTGTCCTCTGACCTCCACATGGAATGCATGTGTATGTACACATATACAATAAATAAGTAAATAAATAAAAAATGGTGGTCATTTGGAGCTGCCATGATGGCTCACTGGGTAAAAACACTTGCCACACAAGCCTGATGACCTGAGTTCAATTCCCAGAACCCAGTTGGTAGAAGGAGAGAACAGACTCCACAGAGATTTTCCTCTGACCTCCACATGTGCATCATGGCATGCCCACACACATCCATACTCACACACATCAGACATACAAACATACAAATAATAATAAAAAAATTAGAAAATGATATTGATGGGACTGGAGAGATGGCTCTGTGCTTAAGAGCACTAGCTACTCTTGCAGAAGACCCAGGCTTAGTTCTCAGCACCCACATAGTGAACTAACTACCCATTGTAACTCTAGTTCCAGGCATCTGACACCCTCTTCTGACCTCTGAGTGCATTGCGTGATGT